ACCTTTATTTGTTCTTTACCTTGACCTTCATCATATTTCCCTTCCGCTCTATAACTCGGCCCCTAATTGACCTAGCACTACCAAACTTGGTATACTTACACATCTTGGGGAGAATGTGTGTCGCGTACCAAAACCAGGTCACTGCAACCTTTATTTGACATTGACCTTGACCTTCATCATATTTCCCTTCCGCTCTATAACTCAGCCCCTAATTGACCTAGCGTGACCAAACTTCCTATATTTACACATCTTGGGGAGAACACGGGGGATACATGTAGTTGGCGACAACTGCCCTTTCTAGTTTAATTTTGTTTTTGTGAAACAATTTTGCATGCTAAGTAGTCCTGTGTTAATTTTTCAGTACTTGCTAGGCAAGTTTCAGTTGACTGGTATCCCCCCAGCTCTACAAGGAGTCCCTAAGTTTGAAGTTACCTTCGATATCGATGATAACGGCATCTTGAATGTGTCGGCAGTCGAGACGAGTACTGGAAATAATAAAAAAATTACCATCAAAGATAAGGGTATGTCCATCTGGTTGTATGGGGAAGGGGATATTCTATTTTTATGTACAGAGCAATGATGAATATTTTTCCTCATTCGCGGTTTCCACCAGAGAGGTTACCAATGCCTCAAGGAGGGATTTTACTTCCTTGGATGTGTGAGCTCTATTCGTGCAGTCTTACTTGGATTTCTAATAGCCTGCTCTGTGTTTACTGAGGTAGAATTGGCAACGTAAATGTATATAATGGAAAAGATACTGCTTTCAGTAGAATTCACAAAACTTGTTGGCAGCATGCAGCCTACACTGGTACTCACTTCGTGAATTGTTTTTGCAGGTCGTCTTGGCAAGGAGGATATTGAGCGCATGGTGGCAGAAGCAGAGAAGTACAAGGGCGAGGATAATGCACAGAGGGAGAAGGTCACTGCCAAGAATAGTCTACAGAGCTATTGCTTTAACATGAAATCCACTGTTGAGGATGAGAAGCTCAAGGACAAGATCTCTGAAGATGACAAGAAGGTGATCCTTGACAAGTGCAACGACACCATCATGTGGCTCGATGCCAACCAGGTAAAGGAAATTTGCACAGGCTTCAATTCGTTGTTTCTTTCTTGTCAGCTTTGATTGCAAGATGTGGCCCGTTTGATGTTGTTATTGGTAATGATGAATATTTTTCCTCATTCGCGGTTTCCACCAGAGAGGTTCCCGATGCCTCGAGGAGGTATTTTACTTCCTTGGATGTCTGAGCCAACAACTTCCGTTTGACTGCATGTGACAATATTTACAGAGGTGGAACTCGCTAATGTCTTGGTGTTATTATTGTAGCTGGCTGAGAAGGACGAGTTTGAACACAAACAGAAGGATTTGGAGCAAATCTTCAACCCAATCATCACCAATTTGTTCCAAGCTGCTGGTGGTAAGTTTTATTACATTTCTAAGCATAGCTGCTATAGTGGTCATTCCTCATTTGCAGTTTCCACTGAAGGTTGTGAAAAATTTTGTTACATCAAATGGATTTTTACAACCAGCACGATGTTACCAGGGGCCACTGCCAATGCCAATGCCAATTTGGCTAATGCCAATTTGCCAAAATGATAATTTGGCCAATGCCAATTTATCATTATTAACAATTATATAAACACAGAAATTATGATAACAATTTTCTCGTTATTAACCCCTGATGTTACTTATCTTAGATCTCATGTGCCTCAGGTCTCGCCTCTCTTGTTTCCTGTCTCACACCTCATGGCTCGTGTCTAGTGGTTCACACATCTCACACCTCACATATCGTGTCTCACACCTCATGCCTTGTGTCTCATTCCTCGCATCTCATCTCTAGCAGTTTCACATGTCTCACATCTCGTGTCTCACACCTAATGTCTCGTGTCTCACACCTCGTGCCTCATCTCTAGCAGTTTCACATGTCTCACTTCGTGTCTCACACCTCACACTGTAAAGTATGGGTTGCAGATGTCACAAATAGTAGTTGAGTGATTGGAAATGTAGCGACTGCGGTTGCATGTGTTGGTCGGCGGTAGCGTGTTTGTTGTAGTATGGATGATGGAGATGCGAAACGGTTGAGAGGGAGTTGTTGTACATGTGGGCAGCACATGTCGGTTGTCCGGGCGCGCGCGACGTCCTTTGTTATCTAGAAATGTATAAAGGAGAAGGTTCTTGGTTGTGAGAGAGGTCGGACGTGAGTGCGCGAGGCACGCGTCTGCGTGCCTCTGTGCGAGCGTATGTGGTTTGAGAAACAATATACTATTTGCTGAACACAACTGCTTAGAGTTTGGAGTTTCATTATTCATCGCTACAACAGATATACATTGAAACAGGTAACGTCATCTTCTTCGTTACAACACCTCACACCTCGTGTCTCATCTCTAGCAGTTTCACATGTCTCATATCTCGTGTCTCACACCTCGTGCCTCATCTCTAGCAGTTTCACATGTCTCACATCTCGTGTCTCACACCTCATGTCTCATCTCTAGCAGTTTCACATGTCTCACATCTCGTGTCTCACACCTCATGTCTCATCTCTAGCAGTTTCACATGTATCACATCTCGTGTCTCACACCTCATGTCTCATCTCTAGCAGTTTCACATGTCTCACATCTCGTGTATCACACCTCATGTCTCATGTCTAGCGGTTTGCGTGTCTCACATCACGTGTCTCATATCTTGCATCTCACACCTCATGTCTCATGCCTCGCATCTCATGTCTAGCAGTTAGCGCGTCTCACCTTACGTCTCGTATCTCGCAGGTTGTGCGCACAGTGCGCACGAAGCAGCACACTATCCTGGCGCGCAGTTGTTCTCTCTTATTCATGTTGTTTGTGCACATCGCGGGCGTGCGGTGTACTTGTGTGTTGCAGATGAGCTTAATTTGACCAGCATTTACAGATGATTATAGGCGAAATAGAGTAGAGAAACATTAAAGCCGCACAATGCGCATCTAAACGCTAATTTCTCCAGTACTAGACTAGCAAATACTTCGTGTCATGCATAATCACACTACCTTATGACAAAATAAACTCTAGTTGCTCCCATTTCACTGCGCGTTTGCATAAAACCCACAAGAAAGATGTAAGAAA